CCTTACCTATTAAGCATCAAGACAAAAGCAGGTATAAAAATAAGAAAAATTTCAAAAATCAATCTATGAATGGAGATTCATCTGCCAATTATCAGAAGACAAAAGAAGGAGGTTCCAAAAAAATCCTATCCACCTTGCTGCCATTGTGAGAAGAAAGATCATCCACCATACAAGTGTTGGAGAAGACCTGACGCCAAATGCTCCAAATGCAATCAACTTGGATATGAAGCAATGATCTGCAAAGTCAAAGGTCAGGTGAAAGAAGTAGATGCACAAGTAATTGATCAAGAAGAAGAAGATCAATTGTTTGTGGTCACTTGTTTCTCAGGCAAAGAATCAAGCGAGAGCTGGTTGATTGACAGTGGGTGCACAAATCATATGACATATGACAAGAAGTTTTTTGAGGAATTAAGAGACACTAAAGTCAAGAGAGTGAGGATTGGCAATGGTGAACACTTGAAAATCAAGGGAAAAGGCATAGTAGCTATAACAAGCTATGAAGGTACAAAATTTATTCCAGATGTTTTATTTGTACCCAAAATTGATCAAAATCATCTTAAGTGTTGGTCAGTTACTTGATAAAGGCTATAAAGTGTTGTTTGAGAATAAGTAGTGCTTGATCAGAGATGCTAGTGGCAAAGACTTGTTCAATGTCAAAACGAAAGGAAAAAGCTTTGCTCTAAATCCGATGGAGAAAGAGCAGATGGCCTTTATATCCAGAGCTAGTGCCACTGAGATTTGACACAAAAGACTTGGGCACTTTCATCATCCAGGTTTGCTTCAGATGTAGTCAAAGAAGCTGGTAGAAGAACTCGCTGACATTGATGATGACATGCCTCTTTGCCGTGCTTGTAACTTTGGGAAGCAACATAGGCAACCCTTTCTTAAACAGGCATGGAGAGCCTCGAAAAAGTTGCAGCTTGTTCATACTGATTTTTGTGGTCCTCAGCAAACACCATCATTAAATGGTAATCTTTATTACATTATTTTTATTGATGATCTAATAAGAATGTGTTTGATCTTACTAAAGCAAAAGTCAGAAGTTGCAAGTGTATTTTGGAAATTCAAAGCCAAAGTTGAGAATGAAAGTGCATGCTTGATTCAGACTATAAGATCAGATAATGACAAGGAGTACACTTCAGAAACTTTTAACAGGTTTTGTGAAGAGGCTGGAATTGAACATCAATTGACATCACCATACACTCCTCAACAGAATGACGTCAGTGAAAGGAGGAATAGATTCATAATGGAGATGACGAGATGCATGCTTCATGAGAAGGATCTTCCAAAACGTTTTTGGGAAAAAACAGCAAACATTGTTGTGTGCTTGCCAAATCGAATTTCAACAAAAGCTACGAAGGACCTTACACCATTTGAAGTTTGGTATGGTTATAAACCTTCTTTAAAGTTCCTTAGAGTTTTTGGGTGCCTTTGCTTCACTTACATTCCATAGGTCAAGCGTGATAAGCTTGACAAAAAGGCAAAAGCTGACATCTTTGTTGGGTATAACATTATATCAAAAGCTTACAGAGTTTTTCAACCACACACTAGTCGTGTTATTGTGAGCCGAGATGTTCATTTTGCTAGAAATGAGCAATGGAATTAGGAAGAAGTAATGAAGGTGAATCAGATTTCTAATGCACCAAACAATTTAATCTTTGGTAGCATGTTAAAAGAGTCCGAAGATGAACGACAAGAAGAGTCTAAAGATGAACGACAAGAAGAGTCTAAAGATGAACGACAAGATGCTTTGGTTGATGATGCACTTGTCAGAGGAGGAACTTTCGGTGATTCAAAAAAACAAAACTTGGGAGTTGGTTAATTGACCTCTAAACAGAAAGACAATTGGAGTAAAATGCTTTGGTTGATGATGCACTTGTCATAGGAGGAACTTTCGGTGATTGAGAAAAACAAAACCTGGGAGTTGGTTAATTGACCTCTAAACAGAAAGACAATTGGAGTAAAATGCTTTGGTTGATGATGCACTTGTCATAGGAGGAACTTTCGGTGATTGAGAAAAACAAAACCTGGGAGTTGATTAATTGACCTCTAAACAGAAAGACAATTGGAGTAAGATGGGTGTTCAGAAAAAAGCTTGGAGTTCACAGCATCTAAACAAGGAGGAGTGTTAAAGATCACGTGTTTGTTTAAATTGGTGTCAGTCAGTATCTAATTAAATCTCCCTATTAATTAAATCTCCCTATAGTTTTGATTTGATTTAGTTTTAATTTGTTTACTATTTTTTACCCGATTTTCGACAGATTTTTAAGTAGATTTTTCAATATCTTTTTATTTTAGGTAGATTCTTGCTCTTCATAATACTATGTCCTTATCAACCAATTACTCATTCTTTTGCTAACAAGACTAGTGTGTTGCATTATTCTATTTAAATTCATTTTATCTATTTTTTTCGCTAGGTTGGTGATGAAGATATTGTTTTAAATTAATTTATTATGACTATTAAGTCCATGGAACTATGGATGACAAGTCTAATATGAAGTCACTATGTAGTGGTCCTATTTTTGAAGTAAAACAAAGTCGCCGCTATGTGCGAAAATTCCTTTAAAATAGTTTACTAAAATGTTTACATGGACTAAAACGTTCATAAAATTCATTTAAACTAACAATGATGTTATCAAATTGTCAAAACGAAATAACTCAAATTTCAAAGTAATGAAAATGCCTTGATCTAGCCTAAGAGCTCAACGTTAAATGTAAATGTGACTATCCTAACTTCCTTTCCATGGCCTTCAAAAAGACGATGTCATTACCTTCACTTGAAAAAGAAGTAGCACGTGGTTAGAGAATTTAAAGAAATACTCAGTAAATAGGCTCACTGTTGGGGTCCAGTAATGCATTCACATACAATTATAGTTGGACCTATCCTTTCATAAAAACATTATTATCTTGAATTTTACTTTCTAGTTTGAGTAGGGTTGGATGTGTAGTACTTATCTACATATGACTCATACACACGTGCACATGGATGCACCAGGTGGGGTCGTACACATACCACATGAATTTGACTTTGGTCTTGCACATACTCACGCTATCCGAGCTACTGAGGCAAATGAACTCACATAATATCATGACGTGCAAAACATCATAATGTACGCGCTTCCATACTAATTATAAGGGAGACATATCCTGATGCACATGATATACAAAATGCATGATATCCCATATTTTAAATCATGACATATACTTATGGTGCATACATTCGTTCTTTTTATGACATAGCATTCTATGAGACATGTATACATATCTTGGACATATCTTTCATAGTTATCATATATGGTTTGTCAATGTCTCATTGGCAACTCTCAACGTCCCTGGAAACAAAGTTTCAAATGAGTGCAAATATAAAATGATCAAAGACCACAAGAAGTGTAGCTCCTGACATCACAGAAAAGACAAAGCAAGGGATAGCTTCAACGATGAAATGAAAAATGGAGAAGAAAAGGTCACAAATAGAGTGAAACAAGTCAGATTGTAAATGCATAATGATAATAGGGCAGATATCCCTGCCCTCTTAACCGAACGTGAAGGTCTCTCCTCATCCGACTTCTCTTGCTGAAATCATTACTCTAAGTTCTCCCGAGCTCTAGCAATTGCGCTCCATATAATATACGTGGCGTGACATGTGGAGGTTCATGCATCACATAACATTGGTTTCACCATGTAGTTTTATAACATAATATAATATAATTATATCATTGGACAAATCACATCATAATGTAAAACCGTCACGTAGCATATCACACATCAAACATTATAACATCACACAATATGACATGTATAGGGGCCACAAGGTACGTGTCATTCATACAACATACAAGTCATCTAACAGTAGAACTACTTAGTTGGTTGGCTGGGCCAATATTACTAGACTCGGCTCAGTGTGGTGCGACTTCTCGACTCTAAAACGTATCATTCTGCTTGGTATAGACATATTTATACAGATTCCTATGTTTCTGACCCTTTCAAAGTTGAATATGACCTTAATTAAGGCAATGGAGGTCAGCATAACATCCTATTTCCAAATTCAAGTTAATTTAGGATAGAAATGTGAGTTATTAACGTAAATAAGAGGGACATTTGAATAGGAAACAACTTCCAACGATACGTGGAGCAGCCTCGGAGAAACAGAATTCAAACGTACTCAAGTTTAGGGAGAACACCAGCTAAGGCCAACCAAGTAAATGACCTTACTATCAGTATGGTTATATTAGATGTAGACACATGCCCCGTGGTTCTACATTTGTCATATATTATGAATCACTATGACTATGATATGATATGTATATGCTATAATGTGGGAATTGTATGATAACACTTACGATACGATGTGTTCAATGATATGTTTGAGATAGGATATGAGAAGGATGCGATAAACGTAATGTAATGATCGAAATAAGTTATGTTCATACAACGTTATGGTTAGGTTATGTATAGAAAAATGTTATGGTTATGATAGATTAATAAGACGATACGATAATGCTATGTATAGAAAAATGTTATGGTTATGATAGATTTATAAACAATACGATAATGTTATATATAGAAAACGATATGGTTATGATAGCTTGATAAAACAATACGATTAGGTTATGTATAGAAAAGAATATGATTATGATAGCTTGATTGAACAATATGGTTAGGATAAGTTTAGGAAACGATATGACCAGGATATGTATATGGAACGATATGACTACGAAATGTTTATGAAATCGTCAGGAATGGGAACAATGTATGTATTTATATATATTATAATATAATATGATAATGGTATGATATATGTTATTGTAGGATAGATTTGATGAATTGATATAGCTATGATAAGATATGTTGAAGGCACGCCCAGGATATGCTATGTGACTGTTATGATTTACGATATGCTATGATATGTGCATGAGGTGGATTGTTATGTCTGAAAACATGGAAATGTTATGATATGATATATTTGTGACATGAATGATATGATTGACATGCAAAACAACGAACTAGCATGAAATATAACCCCGACATACGCGTGCAAGATACAATAAATGATATGATATGAAGGAAGATGCTAGCAGGGTTGTATTAAAAGATAATGAAAATGGAAATTTTTTGAAACCTCATGCATTATTGTGTGCTCATGCATGGGGGGATACCCCTCATCTTTCATGATAGTACTGATGCGTACGCTACGAGGCAGGAGAACGATCATTATGTTATCATAATGTTGTTGTCATTATTCCTAATGGGTGTCTTGCATCAACAACTAATAGAGAATGCTCGCCTGACCAGAAAGGGCCCCAAGAGGTGTGCGAACAACTGGTGGGTCTATACTCTGCATGTGTGAATCGTGTGTAGGAAAATTAAGTACACATCCTAATTTCCCATTAGGATGACCACCATAGAAAAATAGACTGTTATGATAGATCTCATTCATGGAATTACATGTGTTTGCATTTAACCCCAACAGTGGGGTCACTTATTCAATATTTTTTTCTTAAAATACTCCAGACATGTGCTATTTCTATTTTAGGTAAGGCGAGGCATTCATGTGCGGCTGACTAAGGCATCACAACTCGAGGCCATGATCCATGCATGTGGTAGTTGCATTTATTTTCCTAGACTTAGGCTAGAATAAAATATTTTTAATTTAAATGATTATTTAATTTATCTAGTCTAGTGTGTCGTCTCAAAGATATTTTCGAACACGCAAGTCCATGGCTATATTTTAAGATGAAGTTATGTTTTATGAAGAAGTTTAAATGAAGTATTTCCATACTCAATGTTCATGATAGGTATACAGTAGGGACCTTAAATTAAGTAGAAAATTTAGGGTCGTTACAATAGTACAAAAGACAAAGAACAATGGAAAACATCGTTAGAGACTGTTTCGAGAAGAGAGAGAAAGTTGTCGAAAAATCACGAGGGAAATGAGTGAAGAAGAAGACTTCTCGGGACGGATCTAGATCGAATACCCAACCGCTAGCTTAAGAACTATTGGTCTGAAAGATCAAACCCAGCGGCCCAAGAACCAACCCTCAGCCACAACCCGTCGGCATAACTCGAGGCCCAGACCTACAACCTACAGCTTCGACTCAAGTCACTTGCAGTTGCCCAACCTCACAGCCTTCACCCACACGCCTGCAGCAACCGACCCGATAATCCACGCCTCGATCTGACTCTACTTGCACACTTGTTAGCAGCTCATTGCGCCACATGTCACCCCTACAGCCAAAAACTTCTTCGGCTTACGAGGCTTAGATGGATCAACTCGGCTCAGCAGCTCAAAAGTCAGTCCCTTAGCTCAGGAAAGAGTATTTTGCTTAATTTTTGGAGTTCTCACCATCCCAAAACTAAAAATTGACCATGTTCAAGGAAATTAAGGTGAGTATATGGTTCAATTTCTTGAATTAAGTTAAGTTGAGTTAGTAAATTTTAGTTACTAATGAAACGAGATGGACGTTCTAATAAGAAACGGCAACAAGCAATACTTGTCGCAATTTTGAGGGACAAAAGCGAATGTACTCAAATTTAGGGAAACGCCAGCTAATGTCAACCAAGTAACCAACCAAGTAAGTGACCTTACTATCGGTTCAGTTATAATTGTATGTTGTATGATGACACGTGCCCGTTGCTTCGCACGTGTCATATGCTCGTATGTTTGAACAGTTATGAAATGATATGCATACGATATGATATGTGAATGTTATGCTATATGTGATGAAATGATATGTTGAGATATTATATGCTTGACGATGAGCTCATGACATGATATGTGAACGTTATGATATATGATATGACATGATAGGTGCATAATATGATATGATATGTTAGGAGACATGATAAGTTATGATATGGTTTATGTTTGACAAACGAAATATGATATGATTGACATGCAAAATAATGAATTGACACATGATACAACCTCGATATACTCATGGCAAGTTATGATAAAATGATATGATGTAAAGAACAATGCTAAGGGGGTTGTTATACACGATAATGAAAGGAAAAATGTTGGGACCTCATGCATCATTATGTGTTCATGCATTGGGGGATACCCCTTCTCCATTTACGAGGGTATGGACGCGTACATTACGAGGCAGATAAATAATCATTATATTTATTATTCGTAGTCGCTATTTCTAAATGGGTATTTAACATCAACAGCTATCAGAGAATGTTCGGTCGAAAAGAAAATAGTCCAGGAGGTGTGTGAACCGATTGATGGGTCAATACTCACACGTGTGGGCCGTGTGTACTAAATATACATCCAATTACCCACTTAGGATAATTGCCGAAGGAATATAGACTAATATGATAGATCTTATTCATGATTGTATGTGCTTGCATCTAACCCTAATGGCAGGGTCACTTGCTCAGTGTTTCTCAAAATACTTAGGTCTTGTGCTATTCTTATTTTTCGAGGTAAAGGCAAAGTTCTCCTATACAGTTGATGGTGACATCATAACCCATGAGGCCATGACACATGCATAGGATAGTTTGCAAATTTAAATTTTGTAGACTATCAGTGTAGGTTAGGTTAGGTTAGTATGCATAGGCAATTTTACTTTATGTTATTTCAATTTTTGTTATTTTATTTGAAAGACTTTCTAGGAAACATGTTAGTCCATCGCTATGTTTTAAGATAAAGGTTTGAATGCGCTGTTTTAAGATAAAGTTTTGGATGAAGTATTTCTGCACAAAATATCTATGATATGTATATAGCAGCGACTTTAGATTAGATGGAAATCTAGGGTCTTTACAATTGTGCTCCCTTTATGCTAAGTTTAAAGCTACTCCTTGAAATCTAATTCTATTCAAGGTGTACCACAATCATAATTTAGAATTTTACTATAAAAATTGACTCATCTAATTACATAATTAATTTAAACTTAGCTTCAAATAATTTAAATTAACTAAATTGTATTTATATTGAACTCAAGCACCTTCGAAAGTGTCGAAAATGACACTCGAAGATTTGAAAATGGTAGGACAATGTCTAAAAATATCAAACTCGAGTTGGATCAGCCGAGAGGTTGAGCTAGAGTCGTCAGAACATGGATTCTCTAACTGTCTTTGGATCACCAAGGTGGGATGAAATAGAGCCGCAGGTGTGACTAATAAGCCAAGAGACTCCTCTTATATTAGAGTCCAACTCTCTCTTTCTCAATCTAATTGATTTGGGATAGTTATTTACTCATTTTTTTTTCAATTGTTACATGGCCGACGGTAGGAGTGTGAAGGAGCCGTGCAACTACAAAGGGGCTATTAGATTCGAGTCGTTGTCCCTATTTTATATTTTAATTTTCGTTTTGAAACTTGTAGTTGTTGTGAACATTTTTATAACTTCCCTAGACATGTTTTATATGTTTTAAATTTTAATGTAAATTTATGTTTTATGAATGTTTTAAATTACTAAAAAAAATATACATCTTGTGCACAAAAATTAATAAGGATAGCATGGATTGTACAACCCCCAAGTTTCTTCTTTATGCATAAATGAGTCACCACGACCAACCCATCCATTAACAATATAATTTAAAAAGAAATAAAAAGTTAAACGTGCTTAATTTAAAAAATAATTTGAGGCCAAACCAGGATTGACCCACCCGAGGTTTAGATAAAATAAATAAATTAAAGAGAGAGAGAAAAAAAAAACCCTTTTGACCTAACTCTAGTTGAAAAAATAGGATTAAAATGGATGAAACATAATGATTATGTTATGATGTAATGATTTGAAAGAATCTAACGGCTCAAAAAGAATAAAACCTTTCACTCGTAAAGTTGATGGAGATCATGAGAATCCTAGAGATTGAGATCTTTCATTCATTACGGAAATTTTGACTAAGTGATGAAGCCTTTGAATTGAACTACACATGACAAAAGGGCAGACAAGGTGGGACACACATATATATATATATATTTGGAAATACCTTTTGAAATAATATAAAAAAAATATTTAATAATGGAACTATTTTACTCTTCAAGTGAAAATTGTTAGGATCCACATCAGTCGTTAGCTCTGATACCAGTTGTTAGGATCGCACAACAACGCACACACTCGATCTAGATGAACACAAAGAAAAGGATAGAGAAAATTGCAAGAGAACTCTGGCTAAAAGGATTTTTTTATTTGATGATTTCATGTATGTACAACAAGGGAGAGTACAGAGAATAGAAAGTAATCTTCAAAGCTCTACCGGACCAGATATATACGGGATAGTTTACTCTATATAGCTTTACCAGATTTAGCCATCTATTATATATAGCTATTTACCATATATAGCTTTACCAGATATAGCTTTACTATATATAGCTTTACTATATATAGCTTTACTATATATAGCTTTACTAAATATAGTATCCGGCTTCATGAACTAACAAAAACTTCACCTATGAGAAATAATTCTTTTTTTGTTTGAAATTTGTGTTTAGTTATGAGTGTTTATATTTGGATAAAACTATTTTCGTCCATATTTGTAAGATAATTATGTACATGTTTATATGAATTAAATTGCACGTAATTTTTTTAAAAAATTAAATTATTATATAAAAATTTAGGAAAAGTAGTTGTAATAAAAATTTAAATTAATCAAAATGTGAAAAAAGGAATAGATACATGGATGGATGTAATTGAAAATTTTTAAATTTTGTTGTAGAGAGATTATTTTGAAGAAAAATTTATTTTTATGATTTGGAAGAGTGTGATTTTGGTTAAGTAACACGAGCTAAGGGGAAATGTTTTCTATTTGTCTAAAGTAGATATTGGCTCCATGTTTTCTCTTTCCACTCTAGATGATTTGTAGAAAAAAAAGTACTCGTGTTTTCATAACAAATGGTTCATTTATTAATAGATGAACGATAGGGACTAAACCGATGTGAGATGGATTCATAATACATTACTTTGATTGTTCAATTCCATACATTTCCTTCGACTTTCAAATCCAAACTTCATATTTATCCCTTGTGACGTGGTATTTTGATGTTACCACAAGGCAACATTTATACCTCGAGCATATGAACTCTGATTTGCAAGAGAATTTGGCTCCGAGAAGTGAATTTTAGCACCCAGGCACAACGTCAATCAAGTGTGTCATTTTAATCTTTTGGAGTTGGTGGGTACTACGAACATATGATAACAAAGAGCAGGGCTTCTTTCATGATAATTGGTAACGTTCAAATATTGTTGATGTTGCCTATTTAATACAAAAAAAAAATGTAGGGTATAAGAGTTCAGAACTTTCTATCAAAAGAGAAGTGAGTACATGTCAATTACCATTGAGCCAATAATGTAACATCCAAGTAGAAGAGGAGTACAGGAGTGAAACAAGATCACATTGAAACGATAATTAAGTATGGTTAAGAAAAAGCTTAATTCTTATCATTTATGTACCCTCTTATACTCGGACATTACATTAGCTCAATGGTAACATTAAGAAAATGCTTAACTCTTCTTATCATTTCAATTTAATCTTGGTTCATTCAGGTATTTTTTTTTTTTTTTTTTACTTGGATATTACATTAGCTCAACGATAGGGTTAAGAAAAGGCTTAAAAAATAATTAATAGTAGTTGGAACAACATCTGCCACATTGGTATGATAGTATCCATAATTTTCTTCTTAATTAGCCAATGTAGAACTCCAATAATCCTAAACATATATAAAATTCATCAACAAGGTGTAGTTTTCTTTTTAATGGCTCAATCATAAGATTTTCAATGTTCAACATACTTAGTTTGAAACAATCTTACGTTGAGTGAATTCCTGAAAATTTTCCTATGAAGCATGTGAGGAAAAAAACATGTTGAAATGAAAAATATTGGTTTGTTGGACAACCTTCCCTACCCATACCAATTCAAGACAAGTAGGTAATATGACTAGATCATAAAGGAATGTTGGGACATCAAGTGTCCATTATAGGTTCTAAACTGTGAGCCTAAATTGTTATAGATTCTATTAAATGGAACTTCCCCAAATACAATGTGGATAGAGGATGAACTAATAGAAGTTAATGGACATATAAACCCTCGTATAGAAAAAGGTAAATGAATGAACCAAATACCAAATCTAAATGAGAGAAATCTTAACGATTTCAGAATGCACATGTCACCTCAGACATTTCACCGGAGAGATTAGTTAGGTTAGTGAGGCAGATTTTGGCTTTGCTTCAACCTCGTGAGGAGTGATTGAACTAGTAGCAAAAGAGATCTTAGTCTCAAGAGGTACCATATCATATGTGTAACGAAAACAAACATGACACTATAAGTTGCTAGTATAACTTGCTCACATAGAGGGGTCTAAAAGCTTTTCGGTCAAGACTGGTCGGGGCTCTAGAGAGGAAGAATCTACATCGATCACGATGCGAACAACAAGGTAATGATGTCCTCTCCCTAACGATCTCACTACTTCGCTCTTTTATTGATTTGTGTAGAGATAGCATAACAATGATTGACAACCAATCCCCACAACATATGAGAGGTTAGGACAAGGGAGAGTAATCTCGATTCAACTCCCAAAATACCTTTTGCCCCTCTTTGATGAAAGGAGGATCATCAAGGAGATCCCAATTTTCTAAAGAGAACTTGTAATTTTGCCTCTTTTTCTAGTGGTAAGGTTTTGTCCACCTTAGCGCTACAATGAAAAAAAGAAAATTTTCATAATTGCATCCTTTTTCTCTAGGCTAAGTCGCGCTACTAGCGTGCATCCGTTATTCAGCTAGCTTCAAAGAATGAAAAACTTGACTAACTAGTCAGGACACTCCCGCCCCTAACCTAGGTTGAGACCTTTTAAGATTATTAGTCAAACCTCAACTTCTTGTAATCTTTCTAAAGCTTTAACACCATTCTAATACGCTCTGATTAGATAAAGTATTCTCGTGGCTTTCGCGCAAGTTGCAACATCCCTTGCTTCCGAGCCCAAGCCTACGTCAGTAAAAAAAAGAACAAGAAGAGCTAGCTTAATTTCAAATAGAAGATCCATTACATTTGGTTTGGATTGAGTTGAGTTCAAATAAATAAAAATGGTATAAATGGGATTGGTTTACAATTTTCTCTCCAATTAGATTGGGTTAAACCAAACCAGCTCAAAAATTTGATAATTTTAAAATATAATTTTTTATTTATGATATAATTATACCTCCATATTTTTATTTCATCATTATATTTTTATGGTTTATTCTCCTATCATTTTTTAAAATAATTTTTTAACTATTTAGAAGGTAAATTTTTTTAAAATATATATTAAAATAAAATTTCCAATTTTAATTAAATTTTTAAAAGTAAATAAATAGATGTTTTAGTATCTAACCTTTTACTTTTATAAAAAAATAAGATTTTGAATAAATGATTCGAATGAATCTAACTCAGCCCAAAAAACTTATAGTTAAGTTAGATTGAGTTCATTATTAACAAGAACTACTTGAGTTATAATTTCGAACAATTAAATTGGGTCTAAAAAATAGTTTCAATCTAGCTCATCCCAACCCACACCACTAATTCAAATAGATAAATATCAATGAAAGAAATATCAAAATTTTGAATTAAGATAAATACAATATTTATTCCAATTTTTTTGGGTTATAATTAGTATAAATCACTCGGGTTCAAATAATCAAAATATTTATTTGGAAGTTAAAATTATGTAAATAAATAAAATATCATCTTTTATTTTAATAATACTTCAAAATAAAAGTTTCTTTGTAACTTTTAAATTAAAAAAAAAAAAAAAAAAAAAAAAAAAAAAAAAAAAAAAAAAAAAAAAAAAAAAAAACTTTCAGAAGTAACACGACAATGACGACTATAATAGTTCAACTATTCATCAGAAAACATTCTCTAAATATTCCAACGTTGTAGGTAGCAGGTAGAGAAACAAGGCAAATTACAAGTTCTTTAGGAAAATTACCTAATTTTCAGATAATTCAGAACCAACTTTAATTGTTTATATATACAAAAATTAAAATGATAAGCTAAGAGGTCATTTCTAGTCATGAGGACTAGCATGTATGGATGGATTGGGGGCCAGACAATTCTAAGCCTACGTAACTTCTCGATGCATATGAGTAACCCGAAAGAACACTGACCGTGTCGGGAATGGAGCTCTAGAATCGTCGGATATCTTTCGGTGGCTTAAAGTTGAGGGGATGAGTTTCTGGGGTAGCGTTTTCATCCTCCTTCCACATTTTGATCGTTTTGTCTGCTTCACAGGTTAGAAGCCTCGAACCAGTTATGTCGTACGAGAGAGCATAGATACCGGCTTCACTGTCCAGCGAGCCTGAAATGGAGGATTCGTCAACTTAACGTGTTTTCGATAAAATGACAAAATGAAGGGAAGCAAGGTCAAAGAAGAGATTAATACCAGGCTGTACAATTGTTTGCGATTGCTGAAAGTTATGACCACTCTTCCAATCCCAGAACCATAAGCTACCATTATCACCTTCATGATAGAAAATTTGTTGTTATAATATTAGAATGGTAGATTTAATTAAGGCTAAACTAACAAAAATACCCCCAAACTTTTGCATGAATATCATTTAACTCTCAAAAGTTTCAATAATACTCGTAAACTTAACGAAATCTCAAAATACCCTTAAAACTTTCAAAAAAGTTACAANAAAAAAAAAAAAAAAAAAAAAAAAAAAAAAAAAAAAAAAAAAAAAAAAAAAAAAAAAGAAAAGACCATTTAACCTGTGGCTATTGAATTATCAACAATAACTTACATGGCAACTGATAGTGGAATTTTTATAACGAGGGATGATGACGTCATTTTTTGTAAGAATTTTTATTTTAAAAAGAAAAATAGAGATAGAAATGGAAGGCTATCAATTTTAATTGGTTGTATTTCGTCCTATTTACTATAAAAATGACGTCTTAAAAACTCTTAAAAGGTTAGATATTAATAAAAATTTAGACGTATTATCTACCCATAAAATCTAAAATTTAGAAGTATATGGTTTAACTTAACCATGAAGTAAAATATTATTTAATGAATATCTCCAAATTTAAATTTAGTTTCTTTTTAATTCATAAATTTGATTTTTAATTAGTCTCTAAAATTTAATATTAAATTTTAATTATTCATTAAATTAAAAAAAAAATCAATTTAATTACGGTCACACGTCATCATTTTATTATTTTAGTTAATTTCTACTTTAAGAATAAATTTTAAACTTGGAAGATTAATTAGTCATGAAATATACATAATATTTAGAAAAATATTTTATTTTTCTCCCTATATATTTGGTAGTTTAATAAGATTGGGAGGAGATCCAAGCTTAGATTTATATAATAAATTAAAAATGGACGTCAATCACGCAAGCATCCCAACCAAAATTGCCACGTATTCTGGGTCCCACTTTCCCAAATGTCTTGTCTGACTAAGCTTCCATGTGGAGGTTAATTTACAAAACTACCCTTTCACTTTTTTATTTTTCTTTTTGTTTTTAATTGATAAATTTTGAGTGGGGAGAAGGGAGAACTTGCACAACATGCGAATCTCCATGGAGATATGACAGATGAATGAGATAGCGACACGTGGGGCCATTCAGAAGTGATTTAGGTGACAGACGGTGTTAGATAGACGAGATAGATCTGACAACATTTTGGGCTCCATGTTATCTATTTGGATTGAGACTTTAGTTGCATGCATGGAGATACTTTTGACTTTGTAGTGAGAGAGAAAATTTTAAGAAACAAAAGCTTAGTCTTTAATTTTGTCGGTTGTTTCTAAACCCGACTAAGAAAACATTTTTTTAATATATATATATATATATTTTATTAGTTAAAAAAAAAAAAGTGATTCAAATGCTCTACATGATTAAGAGAGAGGTGGGAAACCCACTTTTGCAACAAAGTACAAACACTTGTATCCACCAAAACATAATCATCCAACCATATGGACTTTCTTGCCAAGAATTGTGGGAAAAAATTGAACTTTTTCAAATGGAGAGATAACGATTTTGAAGATTTTGTTAGCACAATATGCACAACTATCATATGCATTCTAGCTCCAAAATCATTGTCCAAAATAAAAATTTTAAGAGTTTAAGTGTAACGCCACTAACTTTTTTGCCCTAAATTAGCGACATCATCACATGCATGCTTTGAATACATATGTAACAATTCATAATAAACACTTTAAAATAAAGTTATGGACTTGCACATTTAATTCAAAACAAGAAATTGAAAATAATAGTCTTTTAACATGAAATATGAAGAAACCACCTATGAACTACTAAATGTAAATCTAATGTATACGACTGCCCTATCTTTACTTATATGACCTTTCTAGCATTCACCGTCAACCGTGTAAGTGCGCTTTAACTTACCTAAAAAATATAATTGTAACACGTGACTTGAGTATTTTAAGAAATATTCAATAAGTCACCCTACTGTTGGGGTTAATAATGCAATCACACACATAACATGGTTGTGACCTATCCTTTAAAATCGTAATATAACCTTCGACACTTTCCAGTTTCGGGCAGGGTAGGGTGTGTAATACTTCTCCACACATGTGCACATGAACTGACCAGACGAGCTCGTATACAAACCCTCTAGGCTTGGATTGGTTGGGCACAATGTGTAACATGTCGCCGGATGCCATAGAAAAGGAAATGCGCACATGATGTCATGACAAACATAAATATCGAAGGTACGCGTTCGTACTAACATAGCATAACGAGAAAGTATCCCGATGCACATGACATATATACATGCATGAGGTCCCCTTGATTTACATTCATAGCATAACATTAACGTCATTCTCTTTTTCCTTTCATCTATGAAATAGTACATATATGCATCATGTATACATGGCAGTCATACATAATCCATCACATAGCTTTACATGACAATACATAACATGACGTACATAGCATTTCATTTTATTTACAATATGGCGTAATGAGTATCACATGCATACATATCATAGCATCATATGTCATTACATGGAACACAATCACATAACATAAATAACATGGTGTATGTAGGGTCCACGGGGCAAGCACCATCATACATTACTCAATTATCTAACTCCAACAGTAATATCACTTACTTGGTTGACCTTGGCCAAAGTTCCTAATTATTTTGTAGTTGCTTCGAAACTATACTTCAACGTTTAATTTCACCTATGTCAATCCATATCACATACTTAGGATATATCAATATCTTAGTCTAGCTAAACATGATGATTATTTTCAATAGAAGTCCTAAAACTATCTCAAATTGAGTAAACGAGAGTTTTACTAACCTCAATTGGCCTTAATAAGGTCAAAAATGGCTTTAGAAGGGTCGAAAACTTGGAAAGTATTATAAACTTTAAAATGAGCCAACAAGCCGAGCCGGGGTGAGCTACTGTGTCAAACCGATAGGAGCCACGACTGGAAGCAGATGAAAACCAGAGTTTTCAAGGAAAGAGATTTAAGGTATTTGCTACAATTGCGCGAAGAAGGGTCCACATGTCCAAGGATTGTTGGTCTAGGAAAAAGTCTGGCAAAGGTAACATGGTAACCTCCCTAAAAGAGATGGATGATGAATGGGATGCAGAGGAACTATGTGCCATAGAAGAAGATGAGCTAATGCTCATGGATCATTGATTTAGGATGCTCAAACCACATAACTGATGATCAGAGTAATGCAATGGAAGCATGGTAAGTCTTAGAGAAGGAAGTATTAACAAACTTGGACAACATTTTAAAAAATAAAAATCTACCACAAAAGACGGGGAGCAAATAGTACATATTTGATTAAGTGTTGATGTGTTTAAAGATCCAAGTGGCACTGATATTGGTGAGCCAAAAGTGACTTAACCAAGCAAATCTAATAAAAAAGAAATGACACATCAACAAGTTAGACGATAAAAAAGACTCTGAAAGCCAAGTGCTAAGTATGCCAAGACAACTTTTCTAGAGACATATGAAGAATCATCACAAAATACAGCGTGGCAGTAGTCAATGAAGAAGAAATTACAGTCTTGGGAAAAAATCAAAACATGGAAACTAGTGTCAAGACAAGGAGATATCAAGTCTATCTCTTGCAAGTGAGTTTAAAAAATAAAGTGTCTCTTAGATGAATCAATTGAGAGATACAATGCTCAATTTGTAGCTCAAGGGTTCTCTCAACCATATGGACTAGGCTATGATGAAACATTTAGTCCCGTGGCAAAGATCTCTATTGTACGGATCCCACTAGCACTTGCGGTATGTAAAGATTGGAAATTATGGCAGGTGGTTGTGAAGAATGCTTTCTTACCTGGAGAATTGGATTGGGAGGTCTACATGAACCAACCAAAGAAATTTGAGAAAGCAGTTGGAGTCATGAGTCAATATATGCAAAGTCCGATGAAGCCTCATCTAGATATGGCTCGACAGATCTTGAGATAAGCTAAAGGTACAATCGACTATTAAAGAGAAAACTAGATTATCCTAAATCCTCAAGATATCCCTAATGGCGTATATGAGCTCTAAGTAGACGAATGAGGACAAGGTGTCTCGATCGGGCTAGAAGATAAGAAACTATGAAAGTACATAACTAAAACCCTAAGTGAGCTTGGGCGCTAGTAGAGGAAACCCTATGACTTAGATGCATGACTCTTAGATGTGAAATAGGACTTATGAACGATATAATGTGTACGAATGACTTAAGATTTAAGCAATGATTTAAAAACCTACCGGTAAACTACTTACTAAATATTTTTATATTCATTAATGCTAACTTTTCTTTTCATATGGAAACTAAATTGTGCGGCCTAAGGTGATGATAAGTAGGAGCTATGAGGTTATAGAGGTCGAGATAGGTTTGTGATAATGTCTTTTATATAAACTTTTATTGATTTGTATCAAACTATATTTACTGAATGCATGTTTTTTAATTGATCAAATTATTGAGTAGGAAAAATTTAAAATTTTGTATCAATAGAATCGATTCATGCTTTGAGACTCCAAAAAAGTGAGTCATTACAAATTGATATCCAAACAAGTTCTTTTGACTTCTAGAAAGAGAGTTATAAAATTCTTTGAAGCGTGATTCAAGGAAACGCCTCATCTTAGCCAAGCAAGTGATTTAAGAATGAGTACCTAGGCTTATATGATTTGATGATCCTATTGATTTGAATTGATGGTTGGATTAATTTTAGTGCATTATATAATAGAATGATAGGATGATGGACAAGTATCGAACATAACCCAAGTTTGTCTGACGATAATAGATCATGACCCCAAGGATTAGAGGTAGAGCTAACAAAGGCAGGGGCAAGAGTGGAAGGAACAAACTTCAATTAACTCATATTAAGAGATCTTAGAGACAGAGACATCGATGCAGTCTACGATATTATTGATTTGTCACTGATTCCAACCATATTGCAACTAGGTGAATTATCACGATCAAATTTTGTAGGCTTCAAAAACTCGAACCGTGACTAAAATGACGAAAGTGAAAAGAAATAAAAATAAAATAAATGTAGGGTAG